ACTTCATGTCAGCACACAAATACAGCTTCCTTTTGTGATCTGGAGGTTTGTTTTTGTAAAAAGCCCCTGTTACAGTCATACTTCCTGTAATGATTTGATTTAATACGACATCCTTAATCCTGAGATTTGATTGCAAATGAAAGAATGCAGCTAAAACTACAGTGAATGAAAAAAATCTTTCCTTTGAACTTCCTTCCAATCACCTTCTTGGAAGCTCTTTGCTCTTCTATAATATTAAGTAAATTTGCATAAAGTAACAGTAAGCTGAGAGGTCACGCATTTCCTAACTTAGAGTCAACAACTTCTGATTTTTTTTTTTTTTTTTTTTGAGATGGAGTCTCACTCTGTGGCCCAGGCTGGAGTGCAGTGACATGATTTTGGCTCACTGTCACCTCCACCTCTCTGGTTAAAGCAATTCCTTGCCTTAGCCTCCTGAGCAGCAGGGATTACAGGCGCCCGCCACTATGCCCAGCTAATTTTTGTATTTTTTTTAGTAGAGACGAGGTTTTACCATCTTGGCCAGGCTGGTCTTGAACTCCTGACCTTGTGATCCACCCACCTCAGCCCCCCAAAGTGCTGGGATTACAGGCGTTAGCCACCACGCCTGGCCTAATTTTTTTTTTTAAAGGAAATAGATACACTATAATCAATTATAGCAATTCCCTTGGAGTCTATATTTGAATAGATCTAACTTTTATTTACTTAAATATTTTCGAGGATGAAATTAGAAATTTTAAGTATGTGGGAAGGCATGGACTAGATAAGATTTGGCCTTGAATAAAGATAAAATTATAGCTAAGTACTATATCATGTGGCAAGGATTGCTAACTGAACAAAACTTGGTGATGGACTTTTAGGAGGACTCTTTTGTAACATGATAAGCCTAATTCTTCAGCTGGGGCTTGAGAATCTGGGCTCCTGTGCACCCACGTGGAGGGTGACTTTGAACCCATCTTTCTAGGGTGATGCCCCAGGGAAGACCATCCCTCCCTATGGGGGCTCAGACCATGCTCGCTGCTCCACACTGCACACAGAAGTGTTGAAGACTGGGTTCCCTGTGTTCAGCTGAAATTTTCTCTTGCTAATTGGGCAAGCCAGGGAAATATGTTTCTGGAATACTCCCTGCCTCTGCTACTAGTTCTGTATATATCATAAACTCCAAATAAAGAAGCATGTGTTTGTTTCTCTTCTAGAAATGGGCATAGTTTGGGATTATGTGAACACATATTCTGCACATACAGGGTGCCTGGCAGCCCTAGCTCTCTGGCATTCTATTCTGGTTACATAGCCTTTACCTACATATATGACTTTCTTGGCTTTTATACTCATGTATCACCTCTGTCCTTTGACTTCCACCATCCATTCTTGTAATTTTTATATATTTTTTTCTTTTTTTTTAAGACAGAATCTCACTCTGTCATCAGACTGGAGTGTAGTGGCACGATATTGGCTCACTGCGGCCTCCCCCTCTTGGGTTCAAGCAATTCTCCTGCCTCAGCCTCCTGAGTAGCTGGGACTACAGGCACGTACCACCACGTTTGGCTAAGTTTTGCATTTTTAGTAGAGATGGGGTTTCACCATGTTAACCAGGATGGTCTCCATCTCTTGACCTCATGATCCTGACCTCTCAGCCTCTCAAAGTGCTGGGATTACAGGCATGAGCCACTGCACCCGGCCTTTTATTAGCTATTAACTATCAACTCCAATCAACCGCCTTCTCTTGGTCTTCTGTTTTTTTGCACTGCCAACATACCAATTGAAAAGTAAAAATTCCTGTTCTCCATATGTGGATATCTGAATGTCCACAAATTCCTAATTTGAATTGATTATTTTTTAACCCACCAATCTATTTGACTTAATAGAATCAGCAGCAAATATGAAGAAACCATCAACACATGTGATGTTGAAAAGAAATTGGGTGATGAGGCCCAGAGGGTTAAGGTGAAGTGAAGTGGCCGAAGCTCTAGTTTTGCCTCATGTCTTTTTAAAAAGTATTTAGTGGAAAAACTTTGGGAAAACATCCGTTAGTTTTTCTTAGAAGTCTAGGGGAATTGCTCCTTCTGGGAAGCCAAAAGTCCCGACGTAGTGGCTCACTCCTGTAATCCCAGCACTTTGGGAGGCTGAGGCAGGCGGATCACGAGGTCAGGAGTTTGAGACCAGCATGGCTAATTTGGTGAAGACCCATCTCTACTAAAAATACAAAAATTAGCCAGGCGTAGTGGTGGGTGCCTATAATCCCAGCTACTTGGGAGGCTGAGGCATGAGAATTACTTGAATCCAGGAGGTGGAGGTTGCAATGAGCCAAGATCGCACCATTACACTCCAGCCTGGGCAACAAGAGTGAAACTGTCTCAGAAAACAAACAAACAACAAAACAAAAAACAGAGTTTACTGACACTGACACATGCTAGTAGTTTAAGAAGGCAAATAACTCCTTATTCTTTAAAATCCAATTAATTTCTAATCATACAATTTTATTGCAAATTCTAACTCTGGAGACTCTAATACTACTCAGAAGTCACATAAGTTTTGAGAGCAGAAAATCACTCATTGCTTTCCACAGATCCCAGGATTGACTGGGACGTCACTTTGATTAAAGATAAAGTGAAGTTCACAAAGGGTAAAGTGCATGCAATTAATCATTTAAGTGAATGTTGAGCTTTAGACTTTCAAGTGTAGTCTTCCCCAAGGGAAGAAAATTAAGAGCATCTTTTACCTACCCAGAGTCTAACAACCAGAGACTGGATTTCTAGTGCACACCACAGAACTTGGAAATCAAGACTGGAAATGCTAATACCTTTCAGTTTAAAAAAATATATCACATCATGGAAAGCTATGATAAAACTAGTTATTTCAAATATGTAATTGGCGAAGGAAAGTCTAGCAAGAACAAAAGTCAAAACTGAGAGTCTGAGAGCCTTCGCTGTGGCATGTGGTCAAATGTCTGACCTTTTGCACATCATGACAGCGTACAGAACCAAACCTTGTTAAAGGCCTAGTGCTTTCAATTTTCTTTTCCTTTCTCTTCTTCTCCCTCCAGGTGAGACATGTATACTGAAGACTCAAACAAAAGACAGAATAATACTAGAGTAGAAATGCCACTGTTTTTTTTTTCATACTGGAGTAGAAATGCCACCTTAAAAATGTATCTTCATTTACTTTTCGATAAAATTGAAATCACAGTCCATTAAAATTGGGAAATTTAATTCAAATAAAAATCCAACAAAATAGTTGTTTTGATTTATCTAAATATCTGGTTCATTAATTCATGGCATTTTTCGACCTTAAACCAGCTCTTTAGCTTTCTGGACACTCTACTTTGTGTTGTAATTTCCCCATGATGAAAAAGGGAGCCAATGCATGACTCCCAACCCCATCCCAAAGGAGTGGAGTTGGGTGACTCAGTGCTTTGCTGCCCAGAGTCGCTGTCTGCCAGGCACCATGTGAGCGCCGTCTGTTTTATTACTGAATAAGACATGGCTTGTGGAGCACACTGATTTACTGCTGTTGACTCTGTGGTTTCTCAAATGGAACACAACGTTTTTTAATGGTCTCATTGAGAAAACCTAACACATTAGAAATGTTTCAAAATTCAAAAGCCTTTTTGGGTCAGGAATACTCCACTACTTTGGCTCCGCCTTAGTTGGGTATTGAGGGTGAATCTGTTTCAAGCAGAAGACTGACCAGACATAACAAATGAAGTTTGCTACCTAAATCCTTTGTTAACGTGGTAACATGAAAGTATTATGCACAAAGTAATGATAGTTAAGGGGCCAGGAAAATGGTAAGCTTCAAACCAGATACAGCTTCAGAGCTGTTTATTGAATCTTAAAATATGATTTATTGACTTACATAGATTTTTCAGACACTCTTAAAAACCAGACAGATATTTAGATAAATTGAAACAACTATTTTGTTTGATTTTTATTTGAATTACATTTCTAATTTTAACAGACTGTGATTTCTTTTTTTTTTTTCTTTTTTTTTTTTTTTTTTTGAGACGGAGTTTCGCTCTTGTTACCCAGGCTGGAGTGCAATGGCGCGATCTTGGCTCACCGCCACCTCGGCCTCCCGAGTTCAGGCAATTCTCCTGCCTCAGCCTCCTGAGTCGCTGGGATTACAGGCATGTACCACCATGCCCAGCTAATTTTTTGTATTTTTAGTAGAGACGAGGTTTCACCATGTTGACCAGGATGGTCTCGATCTCTTGACCTCGTGATCCCCCGCCTCGGCCTCTCACAGTGCTGGGATTACAGGCTTGAGCCACCGCGCCCGGCAACAGACTGTGATTTCAATATTATCTAAATGTAAATTAAGATATATTTTAAGGTGGTATTTCTACTCCAATATTTGTTTTGTGTGTGTAGCACAAAAGGTCAGATAGTCAAGTCTTCCAAATTTGGCTGAAATTGATATGCTAAATGAAATACAAAAATTTTTCTGACTCTTATGCTATGTCCTTGTACAATATACAATATAAGTGAGCAAGATTTTTAATCTGAATCACATTCAAGTTAGCACTGATATAAATACTCTGAAAAAAATTTCATAGTGCAACACAAAAGGTCTAAACATGCCCATGGCATTATTTTGTTGATTATACCACAATATACAGTAAAAAATAGCAAGTGGAATAACTAAAAGAGATAATATCTAACTACACTGACATGTAATATTTTTTAAGGAATGGAGATCTAAAGCAAACTTCCATAAAATTATCAACAGAAAAAGAAAAAAAAAAACCTTCCAAATAATTAAAGAAGCCACATCTTCCCTTTCATTCATGGATTGAGGTCGTTCTTAAACTTTCACAAACTTGACTCCGATTATCCCTACACCTGCCTTAAACTAGTTCAGCTCCAGTCTGGGGGTTTTAGCCACATTTTCTCTTTAATGGGAGGATATTTACAAATGCAGTAACATCAACATATAGCCAGATTTGCTGTAATCTATACCATCATTTCACTGATAACCTGAATCCAGTTTATCTTCCCTTTTTGCTCTGAGTCCCAATGTTCATATTTTTATAGAACCAAATAGACATGAACATGTCTGTCAAGGACTTGTCTTAATCGCAAATGTCTTTCACTGATGGCTCCCCTGATTATGCTTGAAGAGCCAGGGTATGTGCATGTGTGTGCTTGCGTGGGAGTATTTGTGTGCAGTGGGGGGAATCGCGTACATCTTTGTATGTGTGCAGGGGCTGAACATTCATGGTCACATTCTGCTTGAGTGAATGCGCAAATCTGTCTCCGTTTGAATCAAATGAGAATTCACCTTTCGGACATTTAACCAGTCATAGCCCATTTATTATTATTATTTATTTATTTATTTGCCTCAAAGGAATGCAGAGCACCAGACCCCTGAATTTTTCCAGGGGCGAAATGTTACCTCTTTGTATAAGCTTTATTTAAATAGCGAGGGTATTCTTTACAGGTTTGAGATTTTCAAATCTTGTTCATGCATCAGGGAGTCATCTTGTTTATGAATTCCTTACTTTTAGCTCCTCTTCTTCCGTATGGCCCCACCAGACCTTACAAACTTCAGCCTCTGAGAACATTTCCTGTATTGTCAGGCAGCTGAATTTTTCTTTTGTGCTAACTGTAATCAACAGGCATAACTGAGACAACAATTACTCTCAAGAGCTTTATTTTGCTCTTGGAATGTCAGTTCCTTTATGGGCAAGGCATTTTAATAGATAAAAAATGAAATGGCTGAAAGAAATATTGGCCAATGATAATGAACTGAACAGAGGCCAGGTCTGGATGGCACGGGGATATGGGACCCACAGAGTCAGTTTTCCACATGGCTTCAGAAAGTTGCTTTGGAAACATTGTCCAGAGCAGACCTTCCAAACTTTCATTTGTACACAATTCACTTGCTGGTCCTGTCAAGATACAGACCCCAATTCTGTAAGTCTGGCTGGGGCCTGAGAATCTATGCGTTACTAATAAGCTCTTGGATGGTGCTGATGTGGCGGGTCTGTGAACCACATTTTGAATGGAAACTTTTTGAATGGAAAGAGGATAGTACAGTCCAAAAAAAAAAAAAGAAATAGAGGAAACAATGGCATCAGCCCCATTTGTGTAGGTTTCCACAGTTGTGAATTACAGATCTGATCAGTTTCCTTTCATACAAGTCAGTCCACTGAAGAAAGGTAAAAATAAAATTACTACATTTTGTGAACAGAGTCTCTCTACCTCTTTTCAGGTATTATCACACAATCATTAGATATAATATTTTTCTTGCTTGAACAAAAACAGCATGTTTTAAAGCAGTGAGATCAATGAAAGCAATGAGATCAATGAAGTCTTGGCCATAAGGTCATTGATACTTGGTTAAATAAATATCTTATATTACAGGTAATAATCTTGTATAGAAATACATATACTTTTAATGTTAGCATTGCTAAGTGTCTGTTTATCTAACAGGACATTATTCCAATTGCCCTACACCAAGCTCTTAGAAATGTAGCCCCATTTTACACAATCTGAATTATAAGAGTTCACTTTCAGATAAAGCATTTAAAAGGAACTCTCTCAAACACAGAAATGCTGGTTTAGCCACAAGATCACAGGAAAAGATTGATTTTGTATGTCCGTGCAGGTTTTTAGAGTACGTCTACACATTTTTGTCTTCACAGCAGTCTTTGTGTTTGAAGGGAGTTCTGATGCGGAAACAGCATGCACGGTTAAACCTGCATGGTGCCCCTGTGATCAGACATTGCTCTGTTGTAATAAAAGCGTCCTCAGTTCTCTTTCCCTCTGATCCTCCTGCCTGTACTTCTCCTCAAGTTTCTGTTTCTCAGAATCTGCACAGTAAAATGTGCAATCTGGGCTCTTCCGAATCTGTTCAAACTGACTGAAATCAGCCACATATTTTCCATTTTTGGAGAGAGATACCACAGGGACAAACTCAAAACCCCAGTAGATTTCCTCCGGGATATAAGATGTCCGGCTTTGGCAGACAGCGCTGGTGGATTCCACAGTGGCATTGAGGAGGACCACAAGCTCAAACTCCTTCTCCTTTAGGTTTTGGGGTGTGAGGTCTCTCAGGGGGCTCGTCTCATCCAGCACATGGTAGAATGTCATGGGCAGAATGAGGAAGGGGCTCTCAGAGGAGGAGTCCACGTGGAATTTGACAGTGGCTTGGTTGAGGAGAATCCGCTCCCCCTCCTTGGTGACGTGGGTCTGCAGCAGCTTGCCAGAGAGCTGGCACTGAATCAAGAGGCTCTTCCTCATGTTGGCTACCTGAATCACCAAGCACAGCTTCCCATTCTGCTTGGTGATGACTGCACAGTGGCTGAACTTGATGGTCTCAGCCCGCTTTTTGGGTCTCGCAATTTTGGCCAAGAAGGTTCCGGTGATGAAGATTTCAATCAAGGTCGTGATGACCAATTGAGCAACCAGCAGGAAGATGGCATGGGGACATTCCTCTGTGATGGAACGGACTCCATAGCCAATGGTTGTCTGGGATTCCAGGGAAAAGAGAAATGCCCCAGTGAGAGAGTCCACTTTCATGATGCAGGGGGTATGATTTGAAATAGGCTCACCGGGTTCTAAGTCCCCATGAATAAACGCGATGGCATAGTAGATAACTCCAAATAGGAACCAGGTCATCACAAAAGTGGCAGCGAACAGGGTGAGCTTGTATCTCCACTTCATGTCGATAACCGTTGTCCACAGGTCTTGCAGGTAGAGTAGGTATATGCCATCCACTTTGTCAATTCTCACATTGCTGTGCCCACTCTTGGACATGACACGGGGTCTGTTGGCCTTGAGCCCAGCCCCAGCAGTGTGCTTCACCAGGGGCGTGCTGGACATGCCCATGTGAGTGGAATCCATTGCCGGGATCTGGGAACACTTAGAGAAACGACAAAGACATTTCGTTACGGTTGTATGTGGTGGAACTTTCAGAAAATAGAATCATTACGTGAAGTAAGTATGAACGTATATAGAAGTACACAAGAAAGGATAATTCTGAAGGCAAGATTAACTGATCTGTGCTTAAGTGGTCAGTAGGGTAGAGTGTGGAGCAGAGGCTTTGCAAAAGAGCAGACCTGGGTCAAATGCTGACTCTGCAATTCATCAGCTGTGTGACCTGGAGAAAGCTATTTAACCTCTCTAGACCTCCGCTCTCCAATGTTTAAAATGGTAATACAGCCTATTCCTCAGGGGTTTTGTTACTACTGAATAAGGTAAATTGTTAAAACAGAGCCTCATATTCCAAAAAAAAAGTTACGCTATTTTTTTGTGATAAACTCATATGCATATATCTCATAGAGCGATGTGTTTACTGATATTCAGCTACCATGTATTCCCAATTATAGAACATTTAAAATTATTTGACTGAGCATAAATCTAGTAATGTGCATGAAATACTTCTTGATATGGAGAATATTAGTATAAATCTTTAACACTTAGTTGGTAGTAATGCATTTTTTAGAACCTACCTTTTGCATGATATTCTTGGTAACAGCAATTCATTTTCCCTCAATCTAATGAATACTTAAGAATCTACAACCTCTTCTAGTTTTATTATGATTTTGACAAAAGCTTAGTCAGCAAACAACCCAAAACATTCTTATAGCAAATAATTAGGCTTTATTAATGGCTTGATCAATATGCTGGTTATTCTTGGAAAAGTGCTACCAATGTCACTTTAGATATGATATTTAGGTATGGCACCAAAATTCTTCCTTACTCCTTAGAACTAAGTAGAACCAGCAGGAGAAATCTATTTTAAAGAGCAAATGAAGAAGTCAGTAAGTATAGGTATCTAACATTGTAGCAGAAAAGACCTACCTATAAGAAGTGCTGGGCTTCCATGCTCAGCCCCAGGGAACGCTCTGCTCCAAGTTAACAGCCGGGAACAAGCTGACTGTGCGGGCCCCCAGCATCTTATAGTACCTGCCTGGTGACTGACATAAATTACCCCACATTCCTTGAGAAAGATAATGTTGGTGATTACAGAGTACCTGTGTGGCATGTTTTTCTTCACCTCATTGGTATTTTCAGAATTTTAAAAAACTCCCCTTTTATAAAGGAACTGATATACAGTGGTTTATGATTCATGCAATGCTTTTTCTGTTAGAGCAGTATTATCTCAATAGAAATTTTGGAGGTAATCCTCTGGGCAAATCCCTTCAAGGAAATGGAAATTGTATCCATTAGCAGCAAACAACTGTTCAGGATGCAAGGGGTCTGCTGGGCATTTTAATTTTCCTGCTACATTATTAAGAGTGTGTTATTTACTAAATGCTTCCTTGAAATTGCTTTTTTTCTTAGAAAGTCATTTTTGTTGCAAAGAAGGACCTTAAATTATTCAGAATTTCTTTACCTTGAAGCAAATTCCACTGTTCTTGGGATCAAGTTAGAAGGAAAGTACAGGATCTAATTGATGAACTAGGGCCTTACTATACCCTCAGCAACACTTTTCAGTATAACGAAGAGGAAAGCGACCACAGTGAAGGTTTGGAAATGAAACGCCATTCTGGCAAGCCCAAATGCACAGACCAGCTTGTAACGTGAGCACCAGCAGAGACAAATGCAGCCTGCCTGCAAGTGACTGCATGCACCTTTTTTTTTTTTTTTTTTGAAACTTCTGAGGAAACTGCATGCCATTCAATCCACTGAAATAAAAACAGAAGCTTAAGTTTTCCAGTGTGAGTGATACGCAAGTGTTGTGCGGGCACTCAGCCCTCCACCAGATTCTGGAAAGCTTGGCCCTGTTTTTATAAAGGCAGCACCATGAAGCTTCTGTTTTAAACTGTCTTTCAAAGGGGCAGCCAGCCAGGCTTGGGATGAACTGGATCTGTTTCCTTTTTCTGCTGGGAGTGTGCTTGCTGCAGTCCTGTGTATCTAGTGCTGGAGTTAACAACATCGATTGTACCTCGTATCAAGGCTTGGTGGATAGAAATCACAGGACAAGACCTAGAGCCTCTGTGTGTGTTGGGTGCAGCATTTCTCTGTGGGAAAGAGAGCAGCTTGCAGTCTGCAGTCAAAAGGTGCCATGGCCCTCGCTGTCCTCCTCCCTCCCTCAAGTGTGCGATGCCCTCAGAACCATCTACTACCTGGTCACTCACTCCGCAGGTCAGGTGTCTTCTTCAAGGCAGGTAGAACGTCCTCGGTCCCCTTCACCCACCTGGCTACCATGGGATTCTGCTACTGCCTGAAAGAAAGAGGGACACATGGGTTCATAGGTGGTTACCAAGTGCACCCCAGTAAAACTGGCCCCCGATGATTTTCTAAGAGTTACACCATGGCATTTACCTTCCAATCCCTGGTAATCTGCCACAGTGCACAGAATAGGGTAAAGGTTCAAGGAATGACGTAAGAAGGAAGCTGAATCCCAGCCACAGCCCTCACCACAGAGTTCCCAGCCCCTGGAGGGAGCTCCGTAGCAAAACACCCTGGAAAGAGAGGGTTAACCCACCCTCATTGAGCCCTGCTATGAACTGACCAGCACACCGGGAGGCAGGAAGGGGAAGCGCAGAGGAAGTAAACAGTGAGCGCTGGAAGGGAAGAGTCTAGAATATTTTTACCGCCTGTGGAAATGCATTGCTACTGTTGAGTCATAGGACATTAGAGTGGAAAAGATTGTCAGAACCATCCCACTTGACACAGCTGGGTCCTGGCAGAAAGAACCAGGCCCAAAGTCTTTGGAAGTTAGCCAAGGGTTCCTGTCAGTCCACAACAAAATCCCCTTAAACATCCACGGTTTCTTGCAATCTCCTCTAAATTCCAGAGGTTCTTTTGTATCTTTTTCTCTAAAATGATTCTTCCTAAGCTATCTGCCTATCTATTATGTATCTTCTATTCATCTATTACCTATCAATTATCTACCTACCAACTCTGCCATCTATTATCTATCACCTATCAATCTATTATCTCTGAATTACCTATTTATCATCTGTCTAAATATCTACCTACCTATTATCTATCATCTGTATCTGTCAGGCATCCATCTGCCTACACCCATATATTTTTGTGTCTCACACACACACATAGGCACACGTAGACTTCCTACCTTTCTTCTGATCTGCCAATTATTTGCAGTTATTACTCTTTTAGAGTTAAAGTATTTCCAATTAACCTGTACAGCCTCTTACAGGCTGGGTCCTCCTATTGTGGCCACAGCATGTTTGGTAAACGACCTCTTTGTCATTGCTCTGTTAAGACCCAGAATCTTCATTGTGCCCATCAATCTTACCCACAGGCTTTATGAATTGCACTTTATCATAGGCTCTTAATTTATAGAATTTTAATCCTCAGCAGACTTCTTTCATGAAGTTTAAATCCTTGTTGATACATACTCTTTTTTTTTTTTTTTTTAAGACGGAGTTTCACTCTTGTTACCCAGGCTGGAGTGCAATGGCGTGATCCCGGCTCACCGCAACCTCCGCCTCCTGGGTTCAGGCAATTCTCCTGCCTCAACCTTCTGAGTAGCTGGCATCACAGGCACGCGCCACCATGCCCAGCTAATGTTTTGTATTTTTAGTAGAGATGGGGTTTCACCATGTTGACCAGGATGGCCTTGATCTCTTGACCTCGTGATCCACCCGCCTCGGCCTCCCAAAGTGCTGGGATTACAGGCGTGAGCCACCGCACCCAGCACATACTCTTATTTCATATAATTTCATATTACTGCCTTAGAGTATTTTCCCTTAGTCTTCAATAGACCTGGATTAATTCTAACATGGTAAGCAACAATAACAGTTTCCCAAAAGATAAAAAAAAGAAGAATAACAGAGGAATATTTTCTTCTAATTTCCCCCATCTTAACCTTTTTCTCATTTAAAAGAAAAGTGAAGCTTGCCACCAGTGCTCATTTAATTTTACATAAACATGTTCTTTGAGGCTGAAGCAAATATGATTGATTTTCAATGCAAAAATAAAACATAAAAATCGTTCTTGGAATTATTTCTAAACAGAACTAATATCAGAATCATCTGAACCATCACAATTGTCTATTTAGGAAAAATCAGATTCATCAAATGAATCTCTGGCCAACAACTGTTGAAGGCTGACATTAACATCGTGTGTAGGAATGCTGTGTTTTCCAGGATCTGACATTTTCAGCAATCAAGAATGACTACATTTTGTAAATAAAAATACAACTACTAAAAACAGAATGCTATAAATGCGATGATGTTCTTTGTTTCCAAAGCTGATATACTGGAGTGATGTGAAAATAATAATGAAAGTAATATATTGTGTGGCAAAGTCATTTCCGGGTAAATGCTGCAGCCTCAGTGCTGCCAGTGAGTATTCCGGGGGCAAATGAGAAAAGAGTTAATCCTCCCAGCTAAGCAATATTCCATATAAACCATTAGCAGTTTTTTTAGTTTCTGGAAATAATGTTTATTTCTGCAGTTTTTGTTTATGGTTTCAGTTTCTGGGTTGGGATTGTAATTCTTAGAATGGTGATATCTACCCAGTGAAGTTCTTAAAACTGTGGAATGAATAGGTCAGTATTACTCTTTTCTGCTTCAAACCAGTAAAAGATTCATGGTCTGAGGTCACTGAGTGCTTATGCTATGAGCATTTGTTTTCTGGAGTTAAAGGAAAGAAAATAAACACACTTTGAAACAGAATGAAACAGAAAGCACATTGAAAAAGGTCCTTAGCTGTATGGAGAACTACATTTCCGGTGTTGGGGACACAGCAAGGAGAATGGGAAGTGGAAAGGCACTACCCATTGACATCTTGAGGGAAGAAAGACACTTCATCAAAGATAGAAGCTCTTATAACAACAAACAATCCAAAAACCCACCACGGCAAGCTGGAACACACTGTTCTATCAGAGAAATCAACCTGGAAATGGCCAGAAAGCTACTGATCCGTTGGAAAAAAGATATAAGCAAGTAATAGGCAAGAATGGAGCCAGGGTAGCCCAACGTGGGAAAGAAACAGATGAAGAGTAACTCTAGCAAGAATAAGATAATGTAATAAAGATTCAGAGAAGTAATGATAGCAATAAAAGTTCAGATCGGTGATGAGAATCATCATCATCATACACAGATAACTCTCAAACTGCCTCATGCCTGCCACTGCTCTAAGTGCTTTCCACATGGAAACTTATTTAGCCCTCACACCAACCCTGAGAGGTAGGCAACATCATTATCCCCATGAAGAGGAAACTGAGGCACAGAGAGGGTAAGCGACTCGCTCAAGTTCCCAACAGCAGACACAGGGCAGTGGTGCATTCCACAGCAAGGCTCTTGTGCCCATGCCTGCAACCCCCCTGACAGAGGGGCTCAAGTTTAGTCACATTGGAATCACCTGGAAGGCTCAGGGTTGCAGATTCAGCAGGTCTGGGGTAAAGCCTGAAAATCTGCATGTCTAACAAGTCCTCAGGTGATGCTGTCTCTGGTGCTCCAGGAACACAGGCTGGGAACCACACCTCATATACATTTTCCCCTTGACAAAGAGCCTTATGGCTCAACAGCTGTGTGTCCACTCCAGGAATGTACAACATCTGCCATCCTCATAGATGAATGCCAACTACCCAGGGACTCAAGGCCATGAATGTTTTAAAGCAGGAATATATGGAGAATCTGATCAAAACTGTAACACATTACTAACATGTATTATTATAAATGCTACACAAATAGTATATGTTGTAGAATATATAAACGTGTATTATGATATTTATATACAATATAAATAATTCTAGTGAAAACATTAGCTAAAATTAAGTTCAGATAAATCTTTAATTCCCATGATAGATTTTCAGCTCTCATTTATGCTAGTCAACCCATGTGTACATGTACCACTTTTCTCTACGTCTCAAAACTGAGCTCCTCCAGACTGAAGAAAGGGGAACCCTCCTACGCTGCTGGTGGGAATGTAAATGAGAGCAGCCGTTATGGAGGACAGTATGGAGGTTCCTCAGCAAACTAAAATTAGAATTTCCACAGGCTCCAGCAATTCCACTACTAGGTGTAGATCCAGAGAAAATGAAATCAGTATCTCGAAGACATACCTGCCCCACCCATGTTCATTGTAGCATTATTCACAACAGCCAAGATATGGAATCCACCCAAGTGTCTAACAGTGGATGGATGGATAAAGAATATATGGTATATACACAATGGAATATTATTTAGCCATAAGAAATAATGAGATCCTGCCGTTTGCAGCAATACGGATGGAATAGGAGACCATTATGTGAAGTGAGATAAGCCAGGCACAGAAAGACCCATATCGCATGTCTTCACGCATATGTGGGAGCTAAAAAAGTGGAGTTCATGAAAATAGAGAGGAGTTTAGTAGTTACCAGAGACTTTGAAAGGGGATGAAAGCGAAAAAAAGAATAGAAATGTGTTTATTACCACTGAACTATACACTCGAAATGCTAAAGATGGTAAATTACATATCTATATTTTACTTCAATACAAAGATTTTTTCAAGAAAATGCAAAAAAAAAAAAAAAAAAAAAAAAAAAAAGATGGGTTAGATGACCCAGCTGACACATGGATGCTTTGTTAGGTAAAATAAATTCAGTTTAAGAATGATATTTTTTATTCCTAGTAAGTACAACATTGATGTCTTTAAAACTTAGGGTCTGTTAAGCCAGATTTTGGAAGTTTTCAATTTGTCCATCTCAAGAAAACTTTATTCTGCAATTCACAGTGAATTAACAAGGCAAAGGTCCCACAGAAAAACATTTTTCACAGTAAAATGGGGAGACAGCGGCTCCCCAAAACTGGGGTTCCTCAACCAGGTCTTCAGTGACCTCCTCCCATGTCCTTTAACCAGGATGATGAGGCATAAAGATTGAAATCTACATCAAATCCTAACTTTGGATTTCCAGACTAAAATTAACATGCGGCGGATCTCACTTTTAAGATCTGACAAAACATAGATTCCTGTTTGTAAGAAAAGGTGCTTAAAAAGCTTTTTTGCATGTCAAATATTTCTGATAAATTCGCTTTTCAATGATCTCTTTGTCCAGAAATCCAAAATGCCTGGATTAAATTTGACTCTTAAGTATCACAGATTTAAATATTAAGTAGCAAAAAACGCTTGACACGAATCTGCTTGGGGTTCACTGAGCTCAGAAGGTTTAATACAATAGAGCATAAAACCAGCGAGGCTTAGCTCTCCTCCTTGTGCTCCTGCGACTGTGGTCTCAGGAGCACACACACCTCAACCTCTGGTCTTGGC